ACACCATGACATGGTCTGTGGTTTTCAGACCAACGACATCCGTGAGTCGGCAGCGCTGATGCTGATGTTTAAGCTAAGCTGGACTCTGGTGATACGACACCTGTCACCACAGATGAGCGACGATGTGATAAATTATAAGTACAACGATATATACTGACACAGTGATATCATGAAAACAACATTTATCATCTAATCAATATTTTTTTACACCCACACTGTTGTAGCGTCAGCAACATTTTGTTTTTATTTTAATAATTTTTTTCTGATTGTGGAATTCTTCACAAACTTCACAGAAAGACAAAAGTTTTTTTTCTTCATTATCAGCAGCAGCAGCCGTTGATGTCACGACTGTTGCTCCAGTATTTTCTCCTCAGCGTTTGTTGATCCTATTGACCGGCTGTCTAACACCTGTGTCCTCAGACCCAGACCCCCCCACTCTGTCAGGATGGTGGCAGCGGTGCTGATCGCCCTCGGTCTCCTGGTCAACCCAGGTAGGTCACATGACTCCTTTTTTTTAAAGCTGTTTCATCTTGTATTGATCTGGGATTATGGATCTGTGGCCGTGTATCTGTCGTCAATCATCTCGTCATGTGACACCGACATTATTTATTCATCACCTTCTATTTTATGACTTTGTGGATTTAAATGTAACTTGATTTTGATGGAACACCAGTGTAATACAATCAGTTACTGACAACAACACAACTCCTCTTCTCCTCCCTCCACAGTCCTCCCTGCTCCTGTTAAAGGTAAGTCTCCTCCTCACCCAGCAGACCTCACCTCCTCCCCCCACGCCCTCACTTCTCCTCTCCTCCGTCCAGTGGACGAAGACTCCATCACTTTGTTCCACGGGGAGGACCTCCACATCATGCTCCCGACGCTCAGGTCAGAGGTCACCTTCCAGAACCGATCTGCCCCGCGGTCCGCTGACGTGGTCTTGATGCGCGGCGGTCTGGTGATCCACAACCGGACCAAGCTCAACCGCCACCTCAGCCACCTGATCGTAGACGCCGTGGGCGAGGAGGACGAGGGCGTGTACACGGTGACCAATCCAGAGAGTCCAGAGGAGGCCCGGCGGATCCGGCTGATCGTCCGAGGTACGTGGGTCAATACGTGGGGCGCCTTCACTCCAAAGGCCTCAGTTGTCATTATTGGTTGACTAGGTTTGGGTTGAACCCAAACCAAGTCCAACTGAGTCAGAACCTCATTTTGGTTCAGTTTCTGGTTGAAGTCAGATGATGATGCGGTGGATTCCATGTGTTTCTCTGCTTGTTGCTGCCAGGCAGTAATCAGGCAGCGTTTGAACCACCAACCCCCTCCTTTATCCGTCCTTCCCTGCTGTTTTCCTGTCGTCTATCTGGTCTTTACCGCCGCCCTCTCTGTTTGCTTTGTTTCTACCCCTTCATTCCAGCCTGTCTGATATTTTTGGATCTGTTCTTCCTCTGTAATCTCTTCCCCTCGTTCGCCACATCTGCCGACTCTTCCCTCCTTCATTTCCAGTCCTTTCTTTCTTTTAAACGTGCGGTGTTTTCTCCCTCCACCTGCAGACTGCACCAACGAGCAGATTGTCAAATATGGAGACAACTTCTACATCCCATTGTTGGGCGTGACTCCTCCCATCATCCTGGAGTACAGGCCTAGTGCTGTGGAGGCGAACCAGACGTCCAGGTAGAGTCGCAGACCAGGTTACCACACTGGGGGGGGGAGGGGGGGCAGAGTCTGAGACTGGATCACACTCTGACTACAGCTGTTCTTACAGTTATGACATGTCGTGTCGTCAGGTTTTTGCCAGTCGTCACCTCCAGTGATGACGTTTCTCTGGAGTTAAACGGTAAAATGACTGAAACAACAAACTGTTTGTCTGCTTGGACTTTTCCGCCCCCTACAGACCAGCTCTGGTCCTGCTGACCAGCACTGGGATGTCCAGAGAGGGTTACGAGGGTCGCATCAGCGCCAACGAGCGCCACGTGAAACTCAGCGCTGTCACCGGGGCAGACGAGGGAAGCTACACCGTCAGAGACGCCGAAGGTGTGATTCAGAGGAAATTCTGTCTGAACGTCAGAGGTGAGAGCACAAACGAAGACCAGCGCCCCCTCCTGGCCTCCAGCGACGGCTCTTTAAAAACCCAAACGTTCATGTCTGTCTGTGTTGCTGTGTCTCAGAGCGACAGAACTTTGTGATCCTACCGTACGGTAAGAAACTGAAGATCAACCTGGTCCTGAACAGCACCTTGGTGCGGCTGTACTACACCCCCGACTCTGAAACACCGCCTCAGCTTCTGCTGGACAGAGGAGAATTCACCAGTGTAACTACAGCTTCTGGGTTTCTTTTCTGATCTCCTACAGTTTGTTTCATTTTTAGAACTTTAACTTGACTAAAAGACACTTTAAAGTTCATTTTCCAGGTTTCAGTCGTCGTCGTCGACACAGGTAAAACATCCAGACTGGGAAAGAATGTTCTGTTAGCTTCAGTTAGCCACCTTTAGCTCATACGCTAATATGCTCTGCGGAAAATTCTGTGGATAAAATGTAGAACAAAAAGACAAACTGAGTGTAGTTGTTGTTAATGAAATGTGATTTATATTTTATTGGGTTCAATGTTTTTTAAGGGAAGAGAAAAAACCCAGTAGATATTTAGCAGCAGATGTTGTTTGACCTTTGGCTCAGGGTCGTCTGGGAGGTCGTTTCCTCTCGGCCCTTTGTTCATCAGCTCTTTAATAATTACTGCTGTCTTAAGTACATGTGTTAAGACTGACAGCTGCTAACGGACGAACGTTCCCTCAGGCCACGATCCGTCTGTCACTGACCGTCGCTGACCGTCACTGACCGTCACTGACCGTCTGCTCTGTTACCTGTCGTTTTGACTCCAGGCTGTGGAGCAGCTGGGTTTTCAGGACCGTATGTCCATGGAGGGTTCACTGGTTTTCCTGGACCAGGTGACGGGCGCTGATAAAGGCTCCTTCAAAGTTATTGACATTCTGGGATTTCCTGTGGCCACCTTCAACCTGGAAGTACANNATAAACAGTCAGATATGTTCTGGGTTTTAATTTTTTATTATAGTGACGTCTTAAATGACTAGTTCTGTCAGTTCCAGTTAAAGGTCACTTCAAGTCTTTACTCCCACTCCTCTCCTTCCTCCCCTCCCTCTGCCCCCCCCTCGCCCTCCCCCCTCGTGCCTCCTTGCAGCCTACAAGCTGGAGGCCCTGTACGTGGCCATCATTGCTCTGCTGGGGTTCCTGGCGTTCCTCCTGCTGCTCTGTCTGTTGTCTTGTCTGATCAAAGTCAAGAGGAGGTCCAAGAGAGCGGCCGCGCTGGAGAAGATCGCTCAGAACGCCGGCAAAGAGGACGAAGGAGAGGCCTTCAGACAGGTGGGAGACAACTGGACCCCAGAACCCCCCCTGCTGGACTTATGGTTGTATCACATACAAAGTTTAATTATTCAGATTTCTCAGTAGCAGTGTTTTGTTGTCATGAGTCTAAGCAGCTCCCTCTTGTGGCCATTGATGATATGGGGCATATAATAGACATGAGGGTAATTATTTTACTGTTTTATTTTTTATCTTCATTATTATCAATGATTATGAAAAAGACAGAAACAGAGAGACGAGGTTGTGTCTTTCTTCAATTCCTGAAAGTATTGTATTCAACTAAACAGGTCAAGGCTCATGTGCAGTATTTATACAAATAATCTGTGTACATTTTTGTTTGGTGGTTTGTGCCATGGGATTATAAAGTATTCTATCACCATACATACCGTAGGTTAAAGGAGTTAGAAGGTGGTCGACCAGTTCAATAAGGATGATGACCTTATGACCCTGTGTGGCTGTCTCCACAGGTGGTAAAGAACATCACCAAACTCAGTGAGGACTCCAAACATTCCCAGGCAGAAAACACGGAGAAGTCCCAGAGCACGGAGGTAGACATTAAAGTAAGACTATGGAATATTTGTCTCAGAACGTCATCTCTAAGAAAGTTTTAATGGTTTGTCAATTTTTCTGCGTTCAGACAGCTGCAGCTTGTTCACAATGCTGCTGCTAGAGTTCTCACTAAGGTCAAGAAAGAGGATCACATCAGTCCAGGTCTCAGATCTCTGCAGTGGCTTCCTGTCTCACCAAAAGACTTGATTTCTGACATGACTATTGGTTTATGAATTAATTCACGCTTTAGGCCCAAAATATATCCCGATGTGTTGCTGCTGCTGTGGTATGAACCTCCCAGACCGTCCAGGTCTTCTGGGACTGACCACCTTCTGAAGCTGTGTTTTTTTTTTGAGTCATCTTTACGTAGGAAACTCCCAGAAAACCTGAGGTCTCCTCCAATCCTTTTTCTTTAACTGAAGGCCGACTGTCTTTCTGTTTGCTGCTTCCTTTTCTTCTACCTTGCCCCTGATTGGACTGCACTGTGAACCTTCCCCTTTTTAAACCAGACCCTTTTTATTTTTCAAACTTGATTTTTCAAATGCTGTGTAAAACTCCTGTATCTTTTCATCCAGTTCAGTGTTGTGTTTGAAACCGGTCTCACCACAGACCGTGTACTGACGGCCGTCTGTTGTCTGTCTGATCCCAGGGTCTGGAGGTTTCTTCTAAAGAGGTTGGAATTGGAAACTTAGACACCAGTGACTCTGGCGTTGGCTTTAACACTGCCCTCCCACTGGACACTGACACCGAGGCCCCCGATCAAATCCCTGACTCTGAGTCCATTAGCATCTCTGTAGCTGCTGATCCCAAACCATCTGCTGCTGAGTCCAAGCCAAGTGCGCCACCTGCTGAGGAGCCCAGTCCAGCACCTGAACCTAAAGCCAGTCCCACACCTGAGAAGAACGTCATCAACGATCAGCCAGTGGAAGCAAAGTCGGACGTGTCCAAACAAGAAGTTAGTCTTAGCCCAGCTTTGAGTTCACAGCCCAAACCTGTACCAAGTCTGAGTCCAGAGTCTAAAGAACCGAAATCACCGACACCTGAGAGCAAGAGCGTCCTGACGCCTACACCCGAGCCCCCGAAACCCACCACTCCAGAACCCATCACTAACGGAGCTCCTGAGCCCAGTCTGGATGCTAAACCAAGCCCCGATCACGCTGATGTCATCCAAGACTCGGGTCCAAAGGCTGGTCCTCCTAAGACCCCTGAAGTGGAGCTGAAGTCCAGCGGCGCCGTGATAGGGGGCAGCAAAGACGACGCGGTGGCTGAGGACTCGGCCACCACCTGAGAAACTGCCCACAGGCCCACAGATCTGCCCCCCCCCCACACACACACCCCCACCACCACTGTAGACAATCTAACAACCCCGACCAAAAATGAGGAAACCACTGAAACTCTGGTCTGGTTTAAAAACGTCCAACGCCTGAACACAAACCACCGTAACAGATCACGCAGACTCTCCACACGTAGCTCGTCGCTAACAATTACACACAGATCTCTTTGTGGTAACAATTAAAACTGCCAGGATTAAAACCATAACCTTTGCTGAGTTTACAACGAAACCATTAGTTACACGTAAGGTGAAAACTAACCAACGTTTACACGACGACCAGAACAGGTTCAACCACTGATTCAAACTCCACTAACTTTTAAAAACTAACTTTTTTTACCCCCCGATTACTTTTTAATCTACTAGTATTTAGTTCATATTTTTCACCAAAGACTAACATTAAAAAAACAACAAAGATTAGAAACCACATCCTGTCGACGTCCGTTATAATTAATTAATGAATTAATTTGAGACAAAACCAACTGTGAGTGACTGAAACCAAGTTTGAACAATAATATCCAGTGAATAATTAATGGAATAATAGTTTAAAAATTCAAATTTCAAATTCAGATCCTGAATTTGAATATTAACAAAATAAGTCGAAACAATATTATTCTGATGTCACTTCCTTTCCTTCCCTCACGCTCTCTCCACTGACGTCTTTATTCCAGTTGTTCCCGTTTGGCGTCCGTTGACAAAGAGTCGGTTAAAATTCGGAGAAAATACCAGTTCGTGGGCAGCATCTTTGAAGTGAGTTAGAGTTTTGGTTGTGACAAAGTAAAAAAGTCTCTACCTCAAGATGAGAAGATGAGAGTGTCACCGACAGAGCAGAGACCGGGGTTCGATGCACTGAAAACCAACAAAAAGCCTTTTTTAACAAGAAGCACAGAAAGAAAAAAAAAAAAAACAACCCCATAATTCAACCAAAAGACTGCGGAGATGTCACGACCAACCGGCCTTGGAACTTTTCAAACATTTGAATTAAAAGACACAACCTTTTTATAGTTAACGATGGTTTTAAAACAGATTGGAGTGAAGAGAGTTTCTGCTGATCCCAGATCAGATCAGCCTGGAGTTTCACGTGTTCAAGAGACAGGGTTTTTTTTACAGTAAAACTTGATTCATGGCACAAAGAAAAAAGAAAAATCCAAACCCTCAGCGGTGTTTGTTTGAACACGGCGCTGACTTTCACTGACTGCTGTCTGTTGATTCTTCAATATCAGGTGAGAAATTCCAGCATTTAGACATAAGCCATAAGACAAACAGGCTTAGACGTCGCCTCCTGAGCAGTAGCTGCAATATAACATCATATGTAAAACTAAAAAACCCCACAAGGTTACTCCAGCAGGGGGCACCAACAGCACTGACTTTCAGGTCAAACGTTGGCTATAAAAATAATATATATATAAACAGAAAAAAATATAACAACAAGAAGTGAAGGAAAACTAATTACTGCAATACTAAAAAAAATACATGTACACGTACATTAACGCACACACGTTTTCGTGAGCACATGAACATAATGCACTCCCTGGACTCGAACCCTAACTAATACACACACACACACACACATATATAAATATTCCCTTAACTCTAATCTGACGCTAATCCTAATCCTAACTTCAAACTAAATCCTGAACCTGAGAAAAAAACGTCCCCACGACGATAGCATTTTTTTCACTAAATGAAAACGTACCCTCATGTAAAGCTCTACCACACACACACACACACACACACACACACACAGTGCTTTGTAAATACTGCATGTGTAACCAGACTAAAGTTGAATGTTTTTAATGTAAAGTTCAGTCGATGTATTGTGTAAAAAAAAAAGAAAATTAAATTTCTCACGACCTAGAATATATTCACACCCTATATATATATATATATAAATATATCTGTTATAAATATACAGCATATACAGCATATACACACTAATACTCACTAACATCATGAACTCACTCAGCTCAGCCTCAAGTATCTGATAATACTGCCATGTTGTTGCCAGTACTCACTCTCACAGTATTTAAATGAAGTATTTAAATATGTAACACTTTAACCACAGCATGTCGTGAACAGACGGCTTCTCTCACCCTCGACGTGTGTGTGTGTGTGTGTGTGTGTGTGTGTGTGAAGAAAACACCACTGTCCTTCCTGAGCTTCTCCATCTGTGGCTGCTTTAACTGTGTTGTAACCAGTGCTAGGCTCATGAGCTGGACCCCGCCCCCCATCTTTTTCAACACGTAGCGCTGTTGTTCAAGGTCACAGAGTACAGGTGGCGCTGTTGATGGGAAAATGACATCATAAAATGAGCTCAAACAAAGTCTGGTTTAACCTGGTGATCTCATAAGCTTCATGTTGCGTTACACTTGTTACAACAATTTCACTCTGTGACACGAACAACAGCTCTTTGTTGAGAAAAATCATCTCTTTCTAAAATTAGACTTTTTGTTTTTTCATCCTGAATATTTGTACAGCCTTTGACTGAAGAGTGTGACATCACAGGAAGAGGAGGTGTGGCCTAAAGAATCAGAGTGTGCTTTGATGGTTCTGTGTCGTGGTGAAAACTGATGAAAACAACCTGGACCACAGTGTCACCGATGTGTGTATGTGTGTGTGTGTGTGTGTTGCAATATGTACAAAGCTTCTCTTCTTCTAATGTCTGATCCAAGGCTGTGGTTCTGGTGGTTCTGGTGGTTCTGGTGGTTCTGGTGGTTCTGGAGCTGTCACTTCAGACGGGTCCAGGTGTGGATATCAAACGCACCTCTTCACTCCTTCAGCCTGACACTGTCTCTGCCTCCATCCTTCGTCTACACCTCTGCTCTCGTGGCTCTTGTGTGGAGTGTGACATCATTTCCTCTTAGTGCTCTGTTTTTGCACAAAACCTCACACGGATGTTTTGTAAAGAAAGTATTTTTTTCTTTATTCCACATGTAAACAAATACTAAGAATAAAAGAAGAAGAATTATCACATTTCCTTGTTGTTTTATTGTTTTTCTTATTCATCGTTTCGTCCCTAACTGTAACAGACTTCTTTATATTGTTGGGCTGAAAACATGAAGCGGTTCTGTGTTCTTCCCCTCATCTGTGTCACATGGGTTAAA